TTGCTCCAAATACTACCATCCTTAATCCCTGATCATGGGCTGAAGTGTCTGGTAGTTCCTAGTTGAAGTTCAGCAACATCTGAATATTTATATATTGCTGACTCTTGCCTTATGGAATGCTAACTAGGAAGGTTTCAGTGAATAAGGTAAAGGCAAAAACAGCTTTGAGTCAGGCTTACCTTCTGTGTAAAGTAAGCTTATTGTGCTTAACTTCTGAACCCAGATAAAGAGGGAGTTCAAAAGGTGCATGGCATTTTTGGTTCTTGGTCCTAAAAATTCTAGTTTTAATAGAATACAGCACTTATATCTGCTGGAGAAGCAATTCTAATTTTTTCATTGCCAAATTTGAAAAACAAGAAAAGTGGATATTTGCAGGGTTCTGTGGACACGTTAGCAAACTTTGTCATGGAAAGCTATGCTTAAACATGGAGCAAGAAAGCTACTTTAAGGGTTCCTGCCTCCTAAACATTTTGACTGCCATTTGATTCTGGCACTTGTAACATTTTGAAGGCCAGGATAATCATTTGTAGTTGTAAGATTGAAAAGATGCTTCAAGCAAGTACAGAATAGCATTGAGGTGTTAGAGTCTAAAGCAGCTTTCTAAAAAATGAAAGAATCTACCTCTGTTTTAAGCATATAAAATCTCTGCCTTTTCCTAAGAAGCTGGTACTAATTTTTCCTTGTTTTACCAAAAAAACCCACAACCCAACCCCCCCCCCAAATTCAGCTTTCGTCTTTCTGTTCTCTAGACAAACTCTGCACAGTTTTATTGCCATCCATGAGCTTGTCCTAAGATCCTGCCATGTTACCAGCATGCCTCACTAACTGTTCTTAAAGGACATTCACAAGGATACATCATCTCCATCTCCATTCCATTGCAGAGACCTTATGTTTGTCAAGCCGGTCTGATGTTCAAGTAACAATCCTCTTCTGACAAGTATGATTTTTCCTTTGATGCCTCATTGTTGAATGGTGATAAGGAATAGAACACTTGAACAGCTCACAGCTGTGTCCCCAAAATCAGCTGTGTAAAACTGCCCAATGAAGCAGGGAGCCTCTTCTGGTTTACCTAGAAGTCCCACCTCCATCCCATATATCCCACCCATGGTTGCTGCAGCTGTTTTTCAGGTGGGAGTAGGACTGGTGTTTTTACTATGCTGTGGATCAGCTGAAAACCTAGTGGAACCCTATTAGTACCTACCAGGCTCCTTGACGATGTTTTGTTTGTGATTGTCTACCCACAGTAGCAACATACATTTGAATGGATAAGTCCTCATAGCAGCCACAAGTTCTTAATATTCTAAATGTGGCTTTTGGGATGAGTTCTGAGGTCCAGCTATGGGCAAAAGTTTGTGAACCTTTTAGAAATATTTATAAACCTGTAGAACTGGGATCTGTAATGTGATTAGGGCTTCTGTTAAGTTCTATTAATAGATATAAAGGTCTTAAACAATATGTACCATGTCTTTATTGAACATATTAAGACAACATTCTCTGTTCTTGTCAAAAAATGTATAGGAAGTCCTAGGATAACAATGGGGTAAATTGAGATAGATATTCCAATTTATGAGGTGATAATCAGGGATGAATTTGAGAGGTCTCTATTAAAAAGCCCCAGACATTGGTTGTCCCTATTGAAGCCTGCTCTTTACCATGTAGATTTGAGGAAGTGGTTTATGCCTGACCAAAGAGATCTCTGCAGACCTCAGAAAAAGGGTTGTTGGTGCTCATGAGGCTGGAAAGAAATACAGAACCATTATCTAAGATTTTGGCCTCCATCAATTCATAGGCAGATAGTGGTCAATTTTTTTAAAAAAGCACATTGTTACTTTTGTTACTTTTTCCAGGAGTGATCCAACAGAAATCACTCCATGAACAAGATGGGGAGATCATAAAGAATCCCAGGGTTATAAGAAATGATTTGTAGGCAATTCTTAATTATCTAATATTAGTGTGTGTCAGAATCCTCGCAATCAATCACTTGCATTGCTAGTTTGCTTGCTTTGTTTCTGCCATTACAGTGACAGGGAGGAAGGGAGGGAAGGTTGGAAGGTTAACCCTTAGGCACAGATGGACTATTATCTGGCTCTCAGGAATGCCCAAGGTCATAGCAACGTGAGAACGGGAGAGAATCCTCGACATGCACAAGAGGGATTCAAAGACAGAAGGGGAGGGTGAAATGGGTTATGAGGTAAAACTAAGTTTTGGCACGCATGGGACTCAGTTCCAGCAATGCTTTAGAGCTGTTCACTACTTTCCATTAAAGGAATTTTCCTTTTGAACCTGCATTGGTTTCCATGAGAGTTGCTTTCATTGGGAACTGAGTACCGTGGTTCTTACATATAGCTGGAACTCTGTATTAGAACAGTATTTAAGATGGTTTGTAAATTATCAGCAGGACAATTGGGCAGAACTCCTGCTATTTGCTGAAGTGGCTTATAACAACGCTGTACATCAGAGTACTGGGTTTAACCTGTTCAAAGTGGCCACCGGGCAGGATTTTGTGGCTATCCCAGGACTTCCCCAGGAATCTACTCAAGTGGCCTCAGTAGATGAATGGATCAAAAAAATGACAGATACTTGGCCGATAATTAAAATGGCATTGGAAGGTGCCAGGGAGAATTCCAAAAACATGCAGATTGCAAGTGCTCCCCTGAAAAGGAATGGAAAGTGGGAGACAAAGTGTATTTATCAACAAAGTACCCCAGAACACTACAACCATCGAAGAAATTAGGACCCAAGTTTGTGGGACCTTTTACAGTAAAGTCATTAACCCTGTTACAGTTTGACTACAGTTGCCTAAGAATCTTAAGAGAATTCACCCAGTATTCCATTGTAGCCTCTCAAAACCTTACAAAGAATCACCAGAGTGGCACGTGGCACAACTACCACCAGACCCTATAATGATTGAAGGCAAGCAGCACCTTGAAGTAAAAGAGATTTTAGATGCCAGAAAACACAGAGGAAACATACAATTCCTCATTCAATTGAAGCATTTTCCCAAGTCTCAGTGTGAGTGGGTAGCAAAAAACCATGTGCGGGCACCACAGTTGATTAAGGACTTCTACAAGAAGTACCCTGACAAGCCAAAATAATGAATTTATTCATGTTGTAAAAATGTACCTATATTTTACTTCTCTATCTAATCCCTCTACAGGTTGCCTTCCATGAAGTCTGAAACTGATTTTTTTTTTCCCAGAGGGGCGGCATGCCAGAATCTTCACAATCAATCGCTCGCACTGCTAGTTTGCTTGCTTCATTTCTGCCATTACAGTGATGGGGAGGAAGGGAGGGAAGGTTGGAAGGTTAACCCTTAGGCGCAGATGGACTATTATCTGGCTCTCAGGAATGCCCAAGGTTGTACCAGTGTGAGAACCGAAGAGAATCTTTGACATGCGCAAGAGAGATTCAAAGGCAGAAGGGGGGGGGGTGAAATGGGAGTGAGGTAAAACTAAGTTTTGGTGCGTGTGGGACTCAGTTCCAGCAATGCTTTAGAGCTGTTCACTACTTTCCAATAAATGAACTTTCTTTTGAACCTGTATTGGTATCAATGGGAGTTGCTTTAATTGGGAACTGAGTACCGCGGTTCTTACAGTGTGTATGAGTGGACTTTAGGTATAATAATGAACAATAGTGTGCATGGAAGCATACCAAGAACAGTGCTGTCCAGAAAGCACATTGCCACTCAACTGAGGTCTGCTAACAACCACCTGGAAGATACACCAAGCTAATGGAACAGTATTCTGTGGACAGAGGAGACAAAAGTGGTATTTTCTGGCAATAATGAGAAATGTGTGGCAAAATTGGAACAGTGCATTCCAACAAAAGAACTTCATCCCAACCATGAAGCATGGCAGCGTACCATGGTTTGGAACTGCTTTACAGCCTCAGGACCCAGATAGCTCACAACCATTGAGGAAACAATGGCTTCTGGATTGTACCAGCAAATTCTACAGGAAAATATCAGGGTTGAAGCTCCAGTAAATATAGGTTATGCAGGATGGCTTAACAAGGAAATGTACAACAGAATGGCTGAAGCAGAAGAAATTTCACATTTTGAGGTTGCAGTGGCATAAGCTTGTAGAGTGAAAAGGTTGGGGGTCTCAGACCACCTGTCCCAGAAGTGCTCTGGGCCTACACTTCTGAGCTCCGCTTTCTTGGCATAAAGCTTGGTAGATACTGCTGCCATCACCTATCCTCCAGAAGAATATCTCACTTAGTGTCTTCCCCCTCACCCTGGTGTGTGAGAGAGACAGGGCTCTCAGAGCCTTTGCTGTTTTCCTTGCAAATTATTTCATTATTTCATTTTTTCCCTTTTAGTCTATATCTCTTGGTCTTGCAGTTTTGTGGTATGTGGCTAGGAAAATCAGCTTTTTTTCCCCTCTCCACCCTGGGCAGTAGACCAATTTCACAAGAAATAGAATAAAATTTTATTATTTTCTTTTTTAAAAAGGAAATGAGAAAATGTAAACATTTGTTTTCAATCTTTAGTAGTAGTATGATTAATTTCTTTTGTGTGTCACTTTGATTTCATTAGATGGAAGGGATATATGGTTTTCATGATACAGAGAAAAAGCATATAATAAAACTGAATCTTGGCAGAAATGCAAATGAGGGGACATAATGGAGAACCCCAAAACAGCTCTGAGTATTGAATATGCTCAATGGATCTGAAATATTGGATGATGGTTGATAGCAGGATGAGGGAAGAAATTGGAATGGAGTATCTGGGAAAAGAGTGCAGCTGGAACTCCAAGCATTTATTGTGGTAGCTTCTACTTATAGTTTGGTCTGGACAGCATTTTTAATGTACGTTAAATAAGGGAGCAACCCAGACAGCAAAAGATTCAAAGAAAATATGCATTAGTAGTGTGAATCAAAATATCCCATATGATGAAGAGGTAGCCTGAAACCAATAGAATATCTTGGAATGTATCTTATTTAAATAACCAATAAATAAATAAATAAATGCTGAGCTACACAATGAATCAAGTTCCTCCTTTTATTATACAGGATTTTATGTACAAATCCCCCCACCCAATTTCTTCCATTCTTCAGTCCTGCAGTTGGTTCATAGCAAAACAAAGTCTAGGAAGCATTTTGAAAATAGCTCAGGACACCAAAGTGGCCAAATTTTGCAGGATAAGCTAATAGAGAAGACCCAACAGGAGAAAGAGAACGAAAGAAAAACAATGCTTGCCTGTTTGTAACTTGTATTTTCAACAAAGAAATTGTTGTAAATTTCTGTGCTTTGAGAGACGCAATCATCTGTTAACATGTCCTGAAGGAGAGAAATTCCTTATATCTGGTTGTATATCTTCCAGCAGAAATCCTTAGAAAGAAGGGTAGGATCAGATCTTCTGAATTTGGCCTGTATGAAAATGTGATTTACACCCTGCTTTCCTGAATAATAGTTGGAGTCTGAAACACTGGATTACTCTGGTAAGCAACCAACACTCCATCTATTTTTGAAGTTGGCAATTAGGAATAAACCATCTTATTGTACAAAGAAGGGGATCTTGAAAAACAAAGATAATGAAGGATAATACAATTTTGTAGGAGATTTCAGTTTAATAAACCACACAATATTTTTTGTGTTTCAGAGTATGGGCTGGTTGAAAGTATTTGTTGCTCTGCAGTGAGATGGGCGGTGACAAATTTGAAATATAAATAAATAAATAAATAAACTTGCATGTCAGAAAAAGGTCAACAGAGAAGAAATATATTTTTCTTTTGCATTTAGGTCTCTTGTAATTAAAAAAATCAGGACACACTGTGCTATCTATGTCTTCAATTGCCCTTGTTGAGTCTTCAAGGCTAGATTTTGTGAACCCTTGAGATGAACAACTGTAAATTATATTTTGGAACCTTAATGGCTGCATGGCTGAGTCATAAAGTGAATATTTCATTCATAATCCTTCTTATGAAATGCTTGGGTCAAAATATGTGTACCTGTTATGCTGTATGTCCCAACTTTAGTCAGTGTTCCTTTCTGCTTCTATAATATAGAACAATTATTTGCCTTCCTAATCTTTAGGAAACTGGATGGAGGATTGTTTTACTTCTGTGAAAAGAGACCTGATAACAACCACATTCATCTCACCAGGTGATATCTCAGAGGATAAAGGGTGTGCTCCTAATGCAACACTGTAGGAAGCTGCACTGGACCAAGGCTAACAAAAGAAATGGACCACTAGGAGGCAACCTGATTAACCAGGCACGGTCAGGATTTCAAATGCAAAACCACACATTGTATAGTGTGGAATAGCACTCTTATTACACACCACAGTCCCTCTTGCCTCAAGAAAGTAGACTTTCTACAGACTGTTTCTTTTCCTGCCACTAGAAAGAAAAAGCTCAACTTTTCATCTCTCAATACAAAATCAGTTTCAGTAGTGGATACTGATTACAAGGCTCCAAGTGTAGTACAATGAAGGGGGTGGGGTGTGTGGGGTGTGTGTGTAGTGGGAGTAGTGATGACAGTCAATGGGGATGGCAACTTTCCTGTGTCCTACAAAAGTGCTTGGAGATATTGGTCCATGGTCTCCTTTTGAATTCCAGGCAGAGACCCAGTGGCAGCCCTGCATGTCAACATTTGTCCAGCTCAACATGTCAAGACAAGTTTTAACTTCTTGTGCTCCTCCCTCTTTTTGTTGCTGTTGTGCTGACATGCTAAGTGAAGGAAGGAGGGGGAGAAAAAAAAGTAATTGGTTTATTATTTTGAATTTATATAATATTTCCTCTACCTTTGTATGAAATACCAAGGGCAAATATTAATAGATGCAGTAAGTAGAGAAGGTTGACATAAAAATAGAATTATGTAGCCCAATGGCTGTCAAGGGATAGAGAAAGACAACACTGCTGCTGATTGGTTAATCACTTGTAGGCCGAAGTTTCTTTCACCATCTTTTCCGTAATTTCCCCTCTTCTTCCTTTTCTGTTTCTTTTCATGTTAGCAGCAAGGCAGCTGAGTGATAGTTTCAGGACAATATCAATGGGATGTCAGTATGAAAATGCAGGTAATGTCCCGTATATGCCTGTGGTACCTGATGTATGTTGCAGTCCTTCTGTCATCCACCACCACAAAAAAATAAATAACATGGTATAAATGAATAAAATCAGGAAATATTTTGCCAAGAAAGGAACCTCTCAAACAAGGAGAAAAGAAAATGAAACTTAAGCAAGTGTTATTAAATCAAAATATGAAAAATTAAATACATATTATTTTATATAATTCAGTGGGATTTTGCTGTCATGAATGGAATCTGCATGTTTTAGAATATACCTAATTACTGTAGGCTGGAATCTTCCACATATGTGAAATGGCTATTCTCCTGAAGAAGCAGAGGAAGAAGAAAAAGAAAGAAAGAAAGAAAGAAAGAAAGAAAGAAAGAAAGAAAGAAAGAAAGAAAGAAAGAAAGAAAGAAAGAAAAAGATATAATGAAAGACACTCCTAAAAGTATACATTTATATACATCTGCTCAAAAGTTAAGTCCATTTAAACTAAAAGGGACTTATTCTTAAATAAAGAATTTGTAAGATCCTCCCTGTATCTTCTTCCTTAGATTGGCCACTTAAGCATCAACAAATAACAGAAAATGTATCAACCCCCAAAGGACAAAAAAGGGCATATATTTGCATACTATTTGGATTATACATGCTAATTTATTCTATGTAAGTAAAATTTTTGCTTTAATTGTTGTAATTTAGGTAGAAAGAATTACCAAATTTTAGATAGAAATGAAATACTTCTTATTGTAATAGGGAACACCAGCCAGGTGACTTCTGTGCCTGCTTGATCTGCTATTTGGCAGTTTAAGGACTCTGCTCTCTATCTTCAAATCAACTTGAACTAGGTAACCCTTCAAGCATTTATTTACTTAAATATTTAGAGTCTATCTGCCATCAAAAAGTAAAAACAATAAGATGGGATAAGAATAAAGAATAATTTATTTATTTATATTCACAGTAGAATCATAACAGGTAGTGTCCTCCTGGACAGTATATTCTGTCCCATTTCACTGATATGCATGTTGAGTTGTGATGAAACATGTGGGGTGTGAAGCTTGCTATTTCTATGCCAGACACATGACCAAATGTTGGTCATATTAAATGGGTTGGATTTCTTTATAATATAAAGGGGACACTTAATCTCCAGTTTCAACTTAAGCGTTTTAAAAATCTTTAAACAGATAAGGGGAATATTATTTCAATGTACAAGCAGAGCTTCATGGTCCTGAACAACACCAGCAGATCTAGGGGAACAACATATGAGGTAGGAAAATAGAATTATGATCTATAGTTTGAGCCATAGGAGCCTTGGACAAGATCTATAAGACCTTTTTCTCCACCTTCTTTCTATTTATTTCTATTTATTTATTTCCATTCATTTATCTTCTTCTGGGTGCCATTAGCACCACATCTTGGAGATAGATAGCATGAATAGAGAGCATGTATGCAAAGATTTCTACTCCTCCTGGTGTCTCTTGTTATTTATTTAAATGAGGCAGCTGAAAAAAAATAAACAGCAAGGAGGATGAAGATTTCTCCTCCTTGCTCTTACAGTTTGTTCATCTGTTTTGTTGACTAAATACCCAGGGGGGCCAAGAAGTAAGTATCAACTCAACATGGCCTTGGCAAGTGGATAGCAATGTCAACTTTTGATACCAGCTCAAGATACATGTGTATCATTGACTAGTATGTGATATGATTCTCAGTCCTAATCCAACACCCACTTTTATACTTACAAGTCTGTCTTTAAAAGGTGCCATTGCGGTGGTCAGTTTTTAAAAGAAGTTAGTGGTTCACCTTTCCCACTCTTCCTTTCCCATTAAATAGCTTATTTCTTTTGCATCGTTATGCATTAAATTTGTTGGGAGGACTATAATTTCATTCCCATCTTTATATTCAGACAATAATATATCTGAAGGTAAATTCTCTGGTGTCAAAGCTTTTTTTATTAGCTAAGGACTGACAGACAAAACCTGAATTCACTGATGATGCAAATTTGAAAGACAAAATCTCATTCTTTAGCATCAATACATCAAGCATTGTTTGGACAACTTTCCCCAAATGAACAGGAAAGGATATAATCTGGCTGTAATTCATTATAATGTTAAGAAATAATTATCTGTTAAAGGTATGGGAGGAAATATTACTTTCCACTGAAGTCTGAACACTGTTATAATGGTCTAAATCCAAAGTAAATCACACAGGTGGGAAGAAAAATACTTTCCTTCTGCCTCTTACTAATTTTGGTAAGCACTGGATTGTGTTTCTGGAGCGCTGATTCTGGATAAGGATACCTAGTCAGGTAATGAAATGTCTGCAAGCAAACAACCAAGCTCAGAGAGCACCAAGGACTCCACAGTTCAGCTCTGAGCTACATGTATTATATTCTTACCAATTTATCATCACAGTCATCCTGCACAAGACCTTCCTCCTCCTCTTCTTCTTCTTCTTCCCCATTTAATGGTTCTTCTGTGTTCATGTCTGCTTCTGACGCTGTGTCTTCTTGAGAAATTTCACTTTTGTTTCCATCTGCTTTTTTCCTAACTTCTGCAAAAAATGCAAAAGACAAAATATCTGTGTGATTTGAGAAGGCCTTTTCAACAAACTCTGCTTTGTTGGTAGGCTTTATTTGGCTTATCTGGGCATCCCCAAATATCAGGAATCCAAGCTGGAAACTAATTGAAATTCACCAAGTGTCCCTGTATGTTGCCACACTGGGAGCATTATGAAAAATTAAAATGGTGCCTGGACTCAAATACTACGAACACCTTGTCAGAAAGAAAAAAGAAATGAAAGGAACATCTGGAGAAATGTCTGCGATGAGTCCTGACAGGGCCTGTGATCCTGGCAGTTTCCCAAGGTTGCCAAGACAAATACCACTTCGTTTCTTTCCCTTTTATCATTTAATAGGTGCTTATTGTAAACTATAGCCTGAGATTAATATCATAGAGTGCAAGCTTAGAGAAAAGCATTCTCCCAAATATTTTTTGGCTTTGTTTATATGTCATGGTTAACCAAGTCAGTAACAAACCTAGTTAGTCTCATTGGGGCTTAGTATATTGTACGAATCCAGGGCATTTGATTTGTTTATGGTTCAATATATTATGTAAAACCAGAAAATGGGACAATTAAAAAAACAGGTTAAGCTGGGTGAATGCAGCCCATAAATTAAACTGGGCATGGTCTGGAAGCACTGTGAATTACCTTTTTGGGGCTTTAGGCTGCATCAGGAGAAAGTGAAGAAATGAAAACTAATTAGAATTTTTTTTTTCTTTTGTTAAATCTACTGTTGGTTATAGTAGGGGATAGGCAGTGATAGCAAAAATCATCCAGGTGCTTACTGTCATTTAAAGATATGAAGCAGAACAAGGGTGGAAAGCCTGTTGGGCTTCCAGATACAACTAGATCAGTGTTTCTCAACCTTGAGAACTTTAAGATGTGTGGACTTCAACTCCCAGAATACCCTAGCCAGCCATGCTGGTTGGGAAATTCTGGGAGTTGAAGTCCACACATCTTAAAGTTCCCAAGGCTGAGAAACACTGAACTAGATTGTGGCTCCCTTCAACCCATCTCAATTGACCATGCTGACTAAGAATGATGGAAATTGGAACCCAACTTCTGGAAGACTGCACATTGCCAATCTATGAATAGGGAAACGGTGTCCTTCAGATGTTTTGGGCTATGTAATCTGCTGGGTTAGAGATTCCTATCAGTATCTGTGCCCTCTACTAGTAAAGCTAACCCATGAAAATATATTCTCAAGGACAAAAAATCAGCAGGGGAGCCTCCAAATAGTTTTATATTCATATGGGAAGCCTGACAGTTTTTTGAAATCACAGGTTTCCAAGGGCTATTTGGTCTTGTTCTGCTATTACAATCTTTATAATATAAATGCCAGTGAAATACAGTATGTCCATAGTTTAGATTGTCTAGAAACAACCATTTATATTTAATAATAACATTGGTGCAGCTTTACCCAATATGGTGCCTACAGACAGATTGGATTACAACTCCATTAGTCATCATCCACTTTGGCCCTTGCTGGCTGGAGATGATGGGTGCTGTAGTTGGGGAAGGAAAAAACTGCACTAGCTCTTAGGAATAGAACAAGGACATCACAGCTGAAATGTAATTGCAAAAAGAACACAAGGTCCTATGTCCCAAAGAAAGGAAGGTCAGACAGTACTAGGAAACTGGCACTGAATTTCTGCACTGGAACTTCCACTGTGTCTTGGTGTTATTGATGGGACATTTGCAATCAGCCAACTAACCTGTAGGTGCTTTCTGTTGTTCAGCAATCTGCTCCAATCTGCCCAAGAGAGCATCAATGTTGGATTTGATCTGGGTCAGCTCAGTTTTAATTGTCTGCAGTTCATTGCATTTCACTTGGAAGACAAAAGTAGGAAGAAAACCTTATTCTTCTGTATGGTACAAATTAGCAATTTTCTTGAGCAGAGATTTAATGATACTTCATATATACCTTTCAGTTGCAGGTCCTGCTTGGCGTCCGTCACAATAAGGGCTTATTGGGTTCAGTATAGGACAGGGTCTCGTTTGCCTTTCATAGCTGAGGAGAAGACAGGAGAATTTTGGCAGGTACCATTTCTCCCATCAGAGTGCACCATGAATGGGATAAGCTACCAAAACCTAAATGCTAGTGCACAGCTACTTAAGGGTGTGGAAGCCCTGTGCTATAATGACTCTGGCAAGATGGTGATATTGTAGATAGAAGATATCTCAGTTATCACAGAGTTCATTTATTAATTTTTAGAATGACCTCTTGCCACACTCTCACAACTTCAATGAGGTACAAGGTTTGCAACTCTGAGTCAATAAAAAAGCAAAAGAAAAGAAGAATCTTCCACCTCATGCCTTGAACTTTAACAAGGAATTCCCCCTTCATTTTTAATTTGCACAACTACTTAGCAGGAGAAAAAGTGAAATGCCTGATGAAATGATGCTTATGCACACACAAACACAAATATATGCTCCTTTTTCTTTTTCTTTCTTTCTTTCTTTCTTTCTTTCTTTCTTTCTTTCTTTCTTTCTTTCTTTCTTTCTTTCTTTCTTTCTTTCTT